CAATTTGGTAATTGCTATTGATGATCAGTAGGTATGGGACGGGGTACAGCTATCAATACTACTCACACATCGTTTGATGGTAAGACCACCGAAACGGTCTATAAGGCCGGGGCAGTGCCTTTCTGATATCGAATTCTGGGTACGGGTTCGGTAGAGGTACGCCGCTGAGTGTAGCGTAATCTGGGAAATCACCGAGGGCTCTGATCTCCTTTACAGAAAAGCCACATGGGAGGTATGTAGAGTCATCGGCATCCAGATATGATGCTTCCATCGGTAAGACATACTTCTGCCAGTCTGGCGACAGTTCTTCAGCCTTTTCTGTCTTCGCGTCTCCAACCAAGGCGCATCGTCGTGAGGGTGGGAAAGTGCTGGCGTGATCAATCGGGGAAATGGACACTGTCCTCTTTTCTGGAGACAAAGACCTTGGAGGAGTCTTTGCCCCTGATACCCTTCGTCCGCCGCTACGAAGCCGTTGTAGGATGATGTTGCGCCTTCCCCGCTTGATCAGCAGGAAGACTGAACTGAGCAGAAAAGCTGCTCCCAACAGCAATGAAATGTTGGTAGCCATGATCGATGACCGTGAGATGATTGACAAGATAAAGATATACCCTGACCAGCGATTGATCTGGCGCTCTTCCTTCTTCTCAATGCAAGCAGTGTCGGTGGAGATGGATGACGATGAACGCTGAGTCAAAGACAACAGCGATAGCTTAGCTTCGGAAATATTGTGGTAGTTGACAAGAGCGAGGCTTCACCCGAGACATTCTACAATCGGAAATGAGGTCTGATTGTCTTATCGTTACGATGCGGGGCGGGATGACTGCTGCATAGATGTGCGAAGCGACCTGTAAGACTACCCTAAACAGGTAATGACCGCGCCACGATTGGACGCAAGCGAATAGCACGATGATGTCTCTCATTAGAAGTATGGGCTGTTACTCTTAGGTTGGGATGGCTGTACGCATATCACTACTATGAATGTGGTGGGGCCTATCACCGTAGATCGCCCGCTGTGTAACCCAACGACCCTAACCGTGTATAGTATTGGAACCCCAAGCATCTTGGCGTAGGGCGTAAAGGTAGACATGGCTCTCGTCCAGTGGTTTATCGTCCGCCTTGTTGCCAGTTCAAGCGTTGCGTGCGGCGCATCTCGGGGCGGCTCTAGAATTTCCCCGCTGTCGGTAATGCCGTCGCTATCGATACCCCGGACGCGCTGATACCGCTTGTGGTGAAGAAGTCCCATGGCTTGCCTTTCTCCCGGGTACGGCTGTCTTAGTGCTTTGATGGCGTGATGCCAGGATGCAATTCGATTCGATGGACTATCTTGGGGTTGACGTCGGATGAGTTCGGTGGGTAGTCATGCAATGCGCGTGACTTTTGTTTAGTCCATGGATTGGCTTTGACAAGAGCGGTCGAAGCCGAGGACCCTACTGTCATGATAATGTAGGATTGACACTATTCTTAGAGATCGTGATGTATTACGCCGCCATGCACTCGTAGAGCTCTGAGGTCTCCACGCAAACATCAAGAGTTGGTATCGAGGACATGACGTGGAAGGATCTAAGATGGCATACATCCCGGACGAATGAGCAGCCGCTGTAAAAGCCAGATACCCTGGCTGCTAGATCTTAGCGTGGGTGAAAGTGTCAATGGGTGTGGGAAGGTTGTAGGTAACGACTGGAAATTTGGTATTCTGCGCTAGGTGCACGAGCCATGGGCCCCACGAGATAACAATCCCAAGCGTTATCGCCCGGCCTCACGTTGCGACACAGGCCCATTGTTCCTCCACGACCAAGCGCTCCGTTAGGTGCTGTAATTATCGCTGGTGGATGCGCGAACTCACAAAATGATGCTGCAGTTCTCGCCCTTCAAGTACTCTTCCATGGACGTGTACTTCACGTCGATGCCCAGGTCCCACGGAAACACAACATTAGGAATGCCCCCTTCGAAGCCAAACTTGTCGAAATACTCGTACATGTCGGCAATTTCGGGACCGTATACGGGTCCCATCGCTTCTTCAATGGCCTCTCGAGGTATCTGCTTGAAGACGCATTTCACGTTGTTCACCTTCCCGAAGATGTCGCACCATTTACCAAGCGATATGAACGATCCAGCGCCGCTCAGAAGTGTTCCTGGTGGCAACTCAACGAGTGCCTTCGTGAAACGCCCTGGGGTTATCAGCAGGTGGCTATGTCGAAGACCAGTGAAACTGACCAGTGTCTGCAACCGGATCGACCATGGGTATCTTCCTGTCTCCACTCATGGGTAGACTAAGAACAAAGGAGCCGTCTTCCTGCTTCTCTGGTCTCCAGTTACTCGCATAGGAGCCCAAGTGCAGCAAGCTCGTCTTGGCGGAAAGCTCCGGGTATGTCTCTTTCAGGTAATTCTCAGTTTCAGCCTTTGCATCGAAGTGCAAGTTCCACTTGATGGTACCGTTGCTCCATTTCCTAGCTTCAGAAAGCGTGGACAACACGAGACGGTCCAGAGTGCCGGCATGAGCCGCTGCTGCATCGATGATAGCCTTGGCTTGAGCAACTTCTCGGTCATATGCCACTTCGTTTGCTGTACGTTTCTGTTCGGCTGCAAGCTTATGTGTCGCAGGGTCGTTCAGGTGACCCCAGAAGTCAGTGTTGCCGAAGATGACATTTGCACCCTTGAACCCATTATTTAGCGACTCTAAGTCATCGAGGTTGCCTGCTACGACTTCAACGCCTTTAGATGACAACTCCGTGGCGGACGCTTTGGAAGTGTCGCGAGTGATGCCACGAACTTTCCACTCGGGCTCGTTCAGGAACGTGCGAGCAACTGACCCGCCCTATGCTTAGTTAGTGGCATGTTCATCTGAAGTGTTTGTCCATATATTGGCGCATACCTGATTTCCGGTCACCCCAATAACGGCAATTAACTTAGTCATGACTCTATGAAGCTGTTCCTGGGTCTATACTAATCAGAAGTAACTTCCATTGGAAAGATATAGATCCAGAGCTTTATAGCCTCTCGGGCCGCCATATGAAGCGTGAGATTCGCAGTCCTTGACCGGAAGATGACGAACGAGTCGCTCCTGTTCCAGGCGTCCATTCGGGTTACAGACAATAGGCTATCAGATCGGTACAACAGCTCTGCTAAAATCTTACACACGCTGCGAACCAAGAGTAGTAAGCCAATCGCATTTTCAAGCATTAAGGAGAAGCGTTGGTTATTGGTCCTGGCTTACGACGTCATTGTACATTTGGGCTGTATGTTGCCGCCGGGCGTACGAAACCCCGCACTCCTTCAAGGCCTCCATCAGCAAATCTGCAGAGGTAGGTAAAGAGAGGGACGGAAAAAATAATTACTCCTATAGGAAGTCAGTCACTGGCCCCAGGGCGTGGACCTCGGGAGGTGCATGGCCCACGCTAAGACCTGTTAGGACAGTCTCGGCATCCTTCAAGTATGTAGTCGAATGCAGGGTTTCCTCTCACTTTCGAAAGATATAGCAGTGAAAAGACCATTTCGCTTGCTAACTTGTACTCGAATAATGTCCTACAGCCACCCGAGCTGAACAGCTCATATACGCCACTCCTTGCGACAGAGCGGGCACAGCATTTCCTGTTCCATGTGAAGCATGAGCTCCAGTAAGCAAGACTTACCGTACACGTGGCCAAATGGACACGGAGCGTGTACCGGACTGTCTCTTTTCCCATCCTCATCCTCCTCATCAAAGTTGCACCAACAGTGAGGGCATCGCATATCCTCTTTTGCAATTGAATCGACGTCAATCACCGGAAGCGAGCCGACGAAGTCGCGTTTGGACTGCGCAAGCATCGGTCGTACGTGCGCAAACCATATCGGCTCGGATAATACCGGTATGCGTATGAAGACATGACATAGTGGGTGCTTCGCCGGGTCATCCACATGATTCCAGATGAGACCAAGGCAGTCCATCATATACTGAACGATCCAGCGATTGCGAAAGGCGATTTGTAACTCGGGTAGCCTAAGAGAAGTATCCATCTCCATGCAAACCATAAATGGAGAGGTAGAGGAGTAGTCAAGTAGCATGGGCGTGCCCGCTACGTACTGATAGGGTGTTATACCCGCATTGTGCATCTCATCCAGCATTTCCGCTAGTTTGTGCATACCCACACACCAGGCTTGCGGCAGCGCGAACCGATCAGGAATTGGTCTGCCGACGGTAGGATGTGCGCTAGGGATAACTGAACGGAGCTCTATGTCCGCTTCATTCAACGTCTCCAGGAACGACCAATGCGAGAAACTCAAGCCTTTGTAATTGAGGTTGGGTTCTTCGTCTTCGATGGGGGCGACGCGGGTGATGAAGCTGTCTTTTAACATCAATTCTGGAAGGTTGGCTTGACACCATCCTAGTGGACTGATGCCGACCCCGATCATCTCATCGTACATGTCTTCGGCTGTAGTACCAACCCAGGGTGGATGGTAGACAGCATCCTCTAAAAATGGCCGTCCGGTATTGTGGAACATACAATTGGTACGCACGCCTTGGAGGTAGGCGAATACGAATTCGTCAACAGTAAAAGACAAGACGGGACCTTCCACACCAACGAGAGGGTCGGGCTTGCTAGAGGAAGTGATAGTAGGAACTACCGACTCTTGGTGCGTAGTGAACGTGTTTCCCATGATTCGTTTCAACTTGGTTGTGAACTGATTGCCGCGCGCATTTCTGGTAGGAATAATCGCTCAGGAAAGCAATTACTTTGACACTGTTCAAGGTCAAGTAGGCCGCAGGCCAAGAGCGCATTCACCGGTGAAGATCACCGTGAGGGCTTCGCCCTTCAGCCACACCGTGCTCCAATTCACCTCCTTCACTTCTGCTTTCCTCTGCAGGCTCTATATATGCCTTCAGAAACACCTCAACAAAGCGTTCACCGAATCTCACACCCAACTGAAATTTCAGAATGTCATCAACCTCACCACAATCATCTTTTTCCGCTAATGAGTCTGGTGCCGTTGTCTCGAGCACACAAGACGACCTCACCGGAGACATGCCTCCGACTACGACAGATGCTAGCTCAGCGCCAACGACATCCAACGGAGAAGAAGAGCCATCCCTAGAATCGCTAGAGAGCGAGCTCGACCAGAGCATGACACTCGTCCCATACGGCTCACCAGAGTCCACGTCAAACGGAGCTCATCCAGATGGACAAGGGCACGTCTTACCCGGCCTAGGCGGCGTGATAAACGAACCCCTTGCAGCGTTGTTCGGAAATGCACCATTCTTCGTCTACGGCTTCGCGAACGCCACGAGCGCAAATCTCCCGACTCTAGGTAATCTAAATACGCACCAAGCTCTCGTTGTCCCCGCGACGACGTCTTCCCACCCTTTACCGACATTACCGACATTAACGAGTTCTTTTGCGCAAGTTCACCATCATCACCACCATCACCATCACCATCAACATCAACATCTACATCACTATCTACATCAACCAGTTCAACTTGCCTTATCCGACTTATTCGCCGACCACATGACCGAGGAGCAATGGGAACAAGAACAGATCCAAGACGCTTTGCACTGGGAAATGGCAAACTCTGAAGCAATGTTTGGACCTATTCGCCATCAAACTCGAACAACACGCGTGGAAGTCGCCACCGCTTTCGTCGAGACGCTGGAGGAAGTCGATATTGCCAGTATCGAACCTGAAGACATGAAATGTCCGCTTTGCTGGCTTCCTTTCGGCAGCACCACGGACGAGGAGGGTCCAACGATTGCCACCTTCCTCGACGAGGAAGAGCGAGAAATCACGGAGCGCTTACATGCGAGCTACAGTCTGCCCTTCTGTGAGAACAGGCCGGACAACGACCCTGTCAGAACTCCTTGTGGGCATGTCTTTGGAAGGCAGTGTCTGATCGATAGCTTGGAGACGAACATGATCTGTCCCATGTGCAGGTGTCGGGTTGATGGGAACGAGGGCGTGACCGGCCCCTACCATTCCAGCGTCGGCAACATACTTCCTGGGAATGCATTATGGTCGTATATGAATGGTGCAAATTCTTTTTCATAGTAGATTTATATATAAGCTCGAGATAGGTGATGCCATATTTCTAATGCGGCCGGCGCAGTGGATGTGCTTCGGTATTGCTACAGAATCGTCAGCGGCATGGTCAACATCACAAGGGCCATACTTACAATACATATTCGTCCAAGCTGACAAGGCTTGGCTCACTGAAGATCAAATAGAAATACTTTAGAGTTTCCGCCATCCAAAAGCTTTCACATTCATCCAACTTGAGTGTCTCTTGCCCTTGTGGTATTGTGACGTCGGCGATGGCAGAATGAGCGAACTCTGCATGAGTGGCGTTGTTGATGGACTCGAACATGCGCCAGGCAGTGTCTTGGAGGGTGGTGTCGCCGGTGATACGATAGAGGACGAAGACTGACTCGATGGCTTCCGGGCTGTGACTGATGTTAGCTACGCATGCTAAAGTGATGCGTATACTTACCGTAACAAAAATCGCGGGTCCCCAATCTTGGAGAAACCAGGCTGCAGTCCCACTTCCTTGATGACGTCTTGAACGTCATAATGCTCCGCGTGGATGTTGTTGGAGTAAGAGTACCTGACAGAGGCATGCCATTTCTCCACATCCCACGCGCAATCTTCTTCTCCAAAGCACGGCATCATCCGGAAGGTTTCCGGCATGATACCCGTAGGCATAGTATCATAAGCCCAGGTGCACCCGTCCACTAACTTGCGAGCGACGTCTAGCTCATCTGTGCGATTGAAGATCTTTGCGCCCAAAGCTACCATGCCTCCCGTAAAGCAAGCGAGGTGCTGGCCGTTGGGTTCGAGCTTGACAGTGCCTGAGGTGCTGATTCGCGCATCACCAGAGACGAGGATGTCTTCACCCTGGGGGACCCTGGGCCGGAAGAACAAATGCTCTTTCGCTGGCTCGATGGCACGCTCGTATAGCTTGCGGTATTGGTCTGTCAGACCCCCGAGAAGCAAGTGCTGCTTCGGCAAGTATTCGTACAGCGAATCAGTCATTCCACCCATTGTGAATGATCCGTCGACGTTGTATTCCTCCCGACCTGGGCTGACCAGTATTGGGAATAGGCCAGGTATCTTCGTCCGGTTCTGGTGCTTTTCGAGCACGTCGGTGATCCTCGCTATCGCGTCGTAGTACTTCGCATCGCCGGTAAGCTGCGACAGGCGAGTGAATTCGAGTGATAGCGATCCTATCTCAGCGCTGAGAGCTTGCGTGTCAGCCTCTTGGTGGCCGTTTAGAGCAGCACTGATCTTTGTTAGTCTGTGTGGGTCGGTGGCATAGCGCAGTCATACTTTTCCCAGTCCCATCGGGTGATGGGCATCCTGTTCGGCGTGTCAAAGGCGGCGTAAAGCATATCCCCCAACTCAGTCGCCTTGTGTAGTAGTGCATGGTGCTTCGCCTTGCTTAGATCGTATGCGCTTAGAAGACCCCCCAGGTAGCGGATCGTAGTCTCGAAGACGTTCAGACGCGCGACACCTGCAGTGGTGAAGTCAATCTTCTTGATGGCATGTACGGCCTCCTCAAATTCTTCTTCTAACCCTAGAATGATCAAAGTATCCAGGGTGTCAACTAGAGTTGCTCCCCGCTGCCCGAAGCCGTTCTTGAAGCCTCCTGTTACCGGAGTGACTTCATCCTGTAGCCACGCGTGGGTCTTATATCCTCCCCAGCTGTGTAAAAATGCCTTCTTTACAGCAGCTTGTCTATGCAATCTCTCCGCCTTGGTGTGTTCCGTCTCAATGCCAAATTCATGTTGGATTCTCGGGATGGCGGCCGGGGCGCCAGTGGGGAGAGGAGCTAGCGATGATACCGGGTTTCGCACCGGTATGCTCTTCCATTGTACGGCGTGATCGATTCGGGTCGACGAGGTGAACGTCGGCAGAGGGAGTCCGTTTCGGGCGCTGAGTTGGCGAAAGGCAAGGATGACAAAGGTAGCGAACACAAATAGCACAGCAATGCGTCGGATAATGGGGCTCATAATGTCTATTGAGGGTATCTCAAACTAAAATGGAAGAAACGCGACTGCTGCGCCGCGGAACACAGGGCCAGCATCCGAGGATGCAAAAGAGCAATTGAATAGGACAAGAATGTATCGAAAATACAAGAAACAAAAAAGACAGACGATATGCAATAGACACAGCGAATGCGACCAGGTGGGATGAAAGAAGGAGCCCCGTGGTGATGCACATGCTAAAGATAGGCTTAAGTGCCGATCCTCCGACCCTGAGCTAGCGGCTCCGCGGGCGTCGTCATCGTCAACCCATCACCACCACCGCTATCAACCTCGCGATGTCAAGGGCATATCTCAGAGAGCAGCGACTGACTGTTCAACTGCTAGCGCGACTGCCGCGGACGGATTCTTTGTCTCACGTGCAGTAGGCAGCAGTCATTAATGCTTACTCAGGAGACCACGCGCGATGTGAGACTGCGAGACAGCCAGCCATCTTCATCGGTGCATCATACAGCGGCGCTCCGCTCACCGTGTGTAATATGAAATCTGTATATCGCCATTTCAGCAAGCTTCCGGGAAGTTTACGTCGTTGAAAGCTATATGGGCCACGAGCTTCGCACCTTCCACGTCCATCATCTCATCACTGCGAACTTACCCATGAACCCCAAGAGCAACAGACTTTATACAACGAATTTGGCACAATGTTTACACTCTTCGGAGATTGCGCTCCTTCATCGCTCCCAGATCCGGCCAAACTGCAACTCCGACCCAACGAGTGCCAAGTGCTCAGCCTCTCTGACGGGCGCACTCTTGGCTTCGCAACCTATGGATCTACGAACTCGTCGCACCCTGTCATCTTCCTTTTTCACGGCCTACCAGGCTGTCGTTTGGTCGGAAGAAGCTGGGACAAGCTCTGCAGGGATATCGGCGCGCGTCTCATCGCCATCGATCGTCCAGGCTGTGGAGCTTCGACGCTCGCAGATCGTGGTCTCGTTGACTGGCCCACGGATGTGGTGAGCCTTGCAGACCATCTCAACATTGAGCGCTTCAGCGTACTGGGTGCTAGCGGAGGCGGACCATACGCGTTGGCCTGCGCACGCTTCATTCCCCAAAAACGACTTCGGGCGGCGACTGTAGTGTGCGGTATTGGACCCATCGAGGCACTTCTAGACACTGTGCCCTATCTATCATGGCGGCTCATGGGTATAACTCCATGGCTGCTACGACAAGGGGCCCTCCGTGTCTTCCTACCTCACATCCTCATTCGTCCCTACCTCATTAGGGACCCTTCCCGCCTCAAGCGTGTCCTCGAAGACCAAGCCAAGACTCCAGAAGAGAAAGAGCAATTTCGCGACAACAGCGGAGAGACCGATCTTGACGACGTTGTCGCATCATTACTTGAGGCCTTCAAGCAAGGCGCTGGCGGATGCATGCAGGATGGTGCTGCGCTTACGAGAGAATGGGGCTTTGATCTGAAGGACGTAGACAGCGAACGGGTCTTGCTAGTACATGGTGATCAAGATGCGCAGGCGCCGTTGAAGGTTGCGCAGTGGATCGATGAGAGATTGGGGCGCGGAAGACTGCGGACGCTCGAGGGCAAGACACATTTTACGATCTGGAAGGAGCATTCGGAGGAGATATTCCGACAAAGCGCTGAGGCGTAAGTATATCGGTGGATGAATGAGTGTTCGCAAGTTCCGCTGCAAGCGCTCTTCTCCAAGGCTTGGTACAGCTGGGCGTAATGCGCAGCCGGCTCATCTTCAAATTTCGCCCATGTCCGATTTCGTCACTCGGAGATGCGGGCTTCCAGTCGGCTTTGTCAGGACAGTATTCAACATCTCCTCCACCGTTAACATAGCCATGTAAGTCTTCCCTCAACTAGAGCGATGTCAAGAATATATAAACACTCAAGCATCTCACCTCTTAGCTGCAACATACTGCATTACCTACTTACCACAACAACCATCCAAAACCCTACACAACGACCATGTATCTATCCATCTTCAGCCCTATGTTATTAGCAATAGCCTGGCTTGTTACTTTTGCATCATCCATGCCTTCCAAGGGTCTCTCGCTCGTATGGGAATCACTCGCCCCTACCCCTCTTTTCTCTCGTCAGGAACACTCCACAGTGTTCCTCCCACCATCTACTATCGCAATTCTTGGCGGTATTATCCCATCCAATACATCCTTCCCACCCATAGACACTACTCCTCTGATGCAATTCTACTCAATCACGAACAACACCTGGACCACGAAAGCGAGCATGCCACGAGGTCTCAACCACGCCAACGCAGCCGTTGTGAACGGGAAGATATACGTTCTAGGTGGCCTGGCAGAGACGGACAACGAGACAACAAGGGTATGGGGCGCAGTACCAGACTCATGGATGTACGACCCTCTCACAGATGCCTGGGAATCGATTCCAGGCCTACCCACTGGCGAAGAAAGAGGTAGTGCGGCCGTAAGCACTTACCAGTCCAAGATCTATCTCGCGGCCGGCATGTCGGAGCTTGAGCTCGTCGAACATGGCCGCCAGCGCAGTGTCTCTGTTGTTTCCATCTTCGATACAAAGACCAGGATATGGCTTGCCGTCCCAGAAGCTGCCAAATATATACCGGCACCCAGAGACCACGCTGGAGCTGCAGTTGTGGGCTCAAAGATGTACGTCCTCGGTGGACGGGACAGCGGACAGGAAAATGTTCGCGACACGGTCTTCATCCTCGATCTTTGTGATCTGGAAGCTGGTTGGAAGACTAGCTCGGCGCGCATGCCTACGGCTAGGGGTGGTGTCGCGGCTGGTGTTATCGGGAAGGACATCTACGTCTTCGGCGGTGAGGGCAATACGCTATCGGAGACCGGAGTCTTTGATCAGGTCGAGGTTTATGATACCGTGCGGGATCGATGGGCGAGGGCTGGAAAGATGAAGCTTCCTAGGCATGGCACGTATGCTGTCGGCGTGGAAG